CTTGTGCCCTATTTCAAACAAAATAAAATACATGTACTAGACTTACTGCATATCTGATGAATATCTAAAAACCAAACAAACAAACATACCTCAAGCCTTAACTTTGAGAATATTTACCAAAGTACTTACAATCATCCCTTTCAAATGTACATTTTGTTACTACTTTGCCACCTTCAAGAATTATTTGCACACTGAATAAAACAAACATTTGTTTCTAATTAGTGATATTTTTATGCTTATATAAGAACATAACTGTATTCCAGTGAAATGAAGCAGAAGTTTAAGTCAAATCACAAAAGTCACATTGTTACTAGATATAAGTAAAATTTTAGGACACAAACTTCAGAAAAATATATACACATTTTCCCATTCATTTTCTAAGTTAAGTACAGGCAGTCCTCGACTTACAACGTTTTGTAGCACTTACAACGTTTATAAATTGACACCCTGTTTCAACTTTTTGATATCAGTTTTGACTTTACATTTGATTCAACGCCAAGCCATGCCATCTCCCTGGAGAACATCTGTCCAAACTTCTTTGGACACTTTAAGAAAGCAGACAAGACTCCACAAAAACCTGCAGTCAAGACTCCTGAGAAGACTCCTTCAAAAAGTCCACCCGAGAGCCCTTCAAAACATCCAGCAAAGTCTCCTCAAAGAAGTCCTTCAAAATCGATATGATTGCTATTTACAATATGAATACATTAATGTAGCTATATTACTCATCTATAATTGATTGAGTACAAAATTATGGGTTATTTTTGGTGAAAATAGGGTATCGGGCCTTGGGTCAGGAATCAATCCCCCATTTATAACATTGTTTCCTATGGGAAAAAACGGTTCCAAGTTACAGCATTTTGACTTGAGAAGTGGTTTTCAGGAACCAATTGTGTCATAAGTCTGAGGATTGCCTGTACATAATAGCATATTACATTGCTTGTTCATTAAGACAGTGGTAAAAACTCACTCTGAAGTGTTTCAAGTTCAGCTCTAGCCAGGGCATCTTCTTTTGCCTTCATTTTTGTTTCTTTATATTCTACATACAATTGTCTGGCATCCTTTAAGAAAATGTTACAAAGATATTAGCATCCTTTAAATAAAAGCAGTTTGTTGCAATGGCACTGTTTTAAGCTCTCATATGCTTATTTTTTTTTTTAAAAGCAACTGAAATATTCATTCATTCCTTTCTTCCTTCCACCTGAGATGCATCAATTTCCAAGCTATGTGAATAATTTGCCTAAAATGTAGAAAATACATCTTGAAAAAACCCATCTTTAATAATGCTGATAGTAATTTTCTACACATACAAACACTAAAAAATAAAGAAACCATGTTGAAAGTATTTCACAACATAACAGAAAGAAGTCAATAAACCTTATTAGCCACTTAACAGCCTGCATCAACCTTTGCTCATCCAAGCAAACTAGAAGTCCAAGTCATAGGAAACTCTTTGTCATGTGAAAGCTAATTTGAAAATAAAACGTTTTTACTTAAAGGAAGCCTTCTTTGTTTTAGTACAAGGTAATAACCTTCTTTGAAGTCATTCATGAGAACTGCAAGATGTGAGGCCCAATGGAGACCTTAAAAAAAACCTAGCTTTTTAGGATCCTGAAAATTGTATAATTGTGAAACAATGCAAGTGTTTAAACAAATATCACACTGCAAAAGTGTTCTGATCATTATTAAACTAGATCCACTGTGAAAAAAGAAGCAGGTTTAAACAGACTTACACTGATATTCAAAGTACTTGTCACATATTTCACTTTTACAATAAGGCTGCTGTCAGAAATAGCCTCAAGAATAATAAATTTCAAATACATTTAAACTAATTAGTTGTAAAGTAGCTTTCTGTTCAAATTTTTAGGCTGAAATAAGGAGAATTTTCCCGCAATTATGTCCAATTAATAGAATTAAGTTGCAGTTCATAAATCTGCATTCAACCAGTAAACATTGACTCCAAAATACAAATACTGAAATAATAATAAATGCAATTGCATTATTATTATCTCTTTAAAACATACAAAACACTCATATCACATGAAAGTTAGTAACATCAAATAAATTTCATTGTGCTTGGATTGTAACCTATAATAATCATTATGTAATGATTATTACACATTTGTAGTTTAGTAAATTAAATGTTTATTTATTCTTATTAGAAAACAAATTAATTTTTCTAAGTTTATTTTCATTGCAACTCAAACTTGAGCATTTTTCCATAGCTATAAAATAAGTATATTATTAAAATAATCTCTTTATTAAAAAGAGGGTTAAAAGGTCACTTATTTTTCTAAACAAACACCACCACTGTTGGTAGCAATATAAAAAAAATGCAGGTTGCCACACAGATGTCACATGTAAACTATTAGCCAGTCTCTTTCTCTCTCTCTTCCCCCACCGCCACACTATCCATGCTCAACTTTATCTGCTGAAGTTATCAGGCTTCTCCAAATGGAGCTTATACGTAATGTTCTGCTTTGAAGTCATCTGGCAATGATCTAATTTAGAGCTGCTAAAACTCCAGGTAACCGTATTTACTCAAATATAAGATGACGCCCCAATAATTAGACTCTATTTACAGAAAATTCATAATTTTATAATTTTCCAGGTATATAATCCAATTATTGGAGGCATGCCTTGAATTTGTTCCTCTCCCACTAGTACAGCAGAGAAAGTAAGCATGGGGAGGCAGGTAGACTTCTTGCCCTCTCCCTCTCCCCAACTTATTCCCACTGCAGCCCCTCCCCTCCCCCCTTACTGGCAGATCCTGCTCTCCCTGAGCACATGGAAGTGAGAAGCAAATTTGAAAATGCTGACCTTGAAATTAAACAAGCCTGTAGTAATCTGCATATACTAACCCACAGATTTAGTACATCTAGAATTGATTTTAAAAAATCTTTTTTGAAACTGCTGCACATTTTAACACAGGTACCCCATAAACACACTTTTAAGTAGCGCTTTAGTACGTACCTTATATGTAATACAAACTGTGCCTGATATTAGTCCAAAGTAAAAAAGCTTATGATTTACCATACAGTTAATTGGGCAGGGCCCCAGCAGAGTCTGCAGCATTTCAAGACATGGTGACCCTATAGCTCAGCACTGCTGTATTTGTGTACCCTCATAAAGGAGCCACGTGCTAAGTAGCACCCCCTACTGATGACTGGAACTGCATGTTCTTGTCACAAGTCCTGTGATGCTCCAAAAATGTATATGCAGATAAGGCATATGGCAAGCTGATCTGGCTCTACTTCATGGAGGGTGCGGCCACACTAATCGTATGCAACACACTGAGAGGGGCTGACAGAGGGATTCTGGATGAATTGCTTGGGGCCCAATTTAGTAATATTTGCCAGAGATTTATGGCAGATAAAGAAATAGGAATAACTGAAAGTGGGAAAGAAAGGCACAGCTCAGCTCATTATAAAATCAAAATGCATTCAGTGTAGTGGCTCACTATGACTTGGGGAAAAAAGAGTCAGCATTGAAGGGGACGGCACTCAACAGACACTATCATATATAAGATGGGATGCACTAGCCTATCCTTGTGGTAGGTTCCCATCAACGTGCTCAATGTTGGTTGCATTTAAATCAACTTCATAGTTGATGTCCACTCCTAAGCACATGCTGCTTTTGGCAGCAATTTAATGAAAGCCAATGCATTTAATGAGGTGCCCTTGTATGTAAATGCAAGATGAGGGGCTTTCCCCTCCCCCCGCACCATGCTGATCAGGGGAGAACAGACCTCATCTTGTGTTCAAGTAAATATGATACTTCTGTGAAGAACTGGGCTGCAAAGAGAAGACGTGTGTGAGAGGCAGAAGAGCTACCAAGATTTAATTTTCCCTGCTGTAGCGGTATGAAAGGGACAAATTCCAAGGCAAACCTCTAATAAGTAAATTCTATAGTGCCAGATTCCATCCCCTAGTGCCAGAGTTGGGGGGAAATCAGAGACAAGAAGCAGTTCTGATTGTGTAACCTCTACCAGCTATATGCCAGTAAAGCTATTCCCTGTGCAATAGATACTTTCTGCTGGTTATTTTAGAAGTTTCATTTCATTTTCTCCTGTCTAGATATAATGGGCCAGAGAATGTGGCTGGAAATATGCAGTTTATACACCTGCCTAAATGTGTCAGTTCAAGGCCTATGAGCAAGTGTGTGCAGGTGATACAGGATGGCCATTATTCACAGGAGGTATCAAGAACAACTTTAAAGTTTTCTTGAAAGGAAGCACCCTTCATAAAACGCTTATTTGAAAAATTAGGATCTGTATTTATTTTTATGTTTTCTTAGTTAAACCTTAAGTCTGGAGTCCCTACATGTATATAAGATGTCCTTGTATTAACAAGGGCTTTGCGCCACTCACCAGAATAATCAACAAAAAGTAACTTAGTATTTCCTCTGCGAATAATTTTGAAGATATTCAGAATACATGGAATATGTGTCTAACATAGCTGATAGCCCATGGATGTTTTTGATTCAGGCTATAGTTTTATGTGGATACAATCGTACCTTTAAATTTAACCCATTTGCCACTGAAAGCCAATATTTGATGCTGAATTCTGGTGCAAAAAATTCATTTTTGCTTGTGGGACCTCCAGACAGCAGGCATTAGGGGGGTAACTGTCAATCTTTCTAGCATGTCAATCATGAAACAATTGGAACTGTGGCTCAAATGAAAATGAGAGGAGCAGGAAAACAAAGAAAACTAACTAGTCATAAGCAGATAAAGCAACAGTAATACTAAATTTGATGCATCTAAATAAAGAAGAGCTTATGCCCATGTTCAAGATACAGCACAGGCATTGGGATGTTTGAAACTATTTTTGTGTGAGCAGAGGATTAGTTTTATTAGAGTATTCTGGTATCACAGCTTGTAAAACGCATGCATATATATAAGCAGACAAGGTTCTTTGGGTGAATCCGATATCTTTTATTAGACCAACTTAAATAGTTGGAAAACAATTATTAAGCAAGCTTTCAGGTTCAAAAACCCTTTGTCAGGCTAAGGAAGTTTCAGCAGTTGGTGTGTGCTCTTCCTGGATGGAATGAAAAGATTCACCCAAAGAACCTTGTCTGCCCATGTCCTTACACCAACACAGCAACAACCTACACCCCCTGCATATCTAGATAAAACTAGAAACTATAAAAATAACTCATTTTAAAAGATTTACAGGCAGCATTTTGTCCTCAACATATGAATATTTGACTCTACAAGTTACAAGAAAGCTAAAAAGATGCATCCGAGGGCAGATCTTTATAACAAACTTTATGAATTATATATAAAATTGGCCCAACATGTTACCATGAAATAGAAAACAAAACAGGAAAGAGCCAGTTGACAGAAGTTAGTATTTACAAGGAGACTTACTGAGGGAAGCTTGCAGGGGAGTGCAAAAACAATTTACACCAATGCAGTAATTTTCTCTATTATTTATATCCATAATTGATTGAATATGAAGCTCACTAACAAATTTTTGCTATTGCTTAATCCTTCAGTGAATTTACTGCTATATTAGTTACACTTGAACTGATATTTCTATTGTAAACATTTCCTTATGTTCATGCCCCTAGCTCCCTAAACTTTTGAAGTCCATTTTTTTTTAGGCCAAATGTATTAGGGATTATTCTAAATTTGAAGATTTAAGATGTAATAAATCCATGTTTTGCCCCCTCCACAATCTGGTTAAGCCAAGCAGATTTTTCAGATGCATCCTTTTTCAGTCCAAAAAGTCAAAATGCAATCTTCAAAAATATCAAACTCCAGCATATAATCAGTCCTCAGTAAGAATTTGGATCTGTCTGGAAAACACACAGAGGCTGTGTCCAGACAAGCGCAGATGTTTGGTTCCCCGGGTACAACTAGCAGCAGCACACCTAGTTGTCCCTGGGGAACACTTGTGCCACGTGCCCTCTGGCATGAGACAAGTTCCCTCAGGTGGGGTAGGGGAGGCTGAAGCCAGCAACTGTGCTGGCCTCAGCAGCCTTACCTAGAGTTCAGGGGGCTCGGGTTGCTGCAGCCATGGCACTCCTGCAGCTGGGAGCCTGGCCAGCAACT